TTTTTGTGTGTTGAGATTGTACCTAACACTGGTGAATCCCTCTGTAAGTTCCCATCTTTTTCTTTTTGATTCCTTGGAATTTTCTATGCATATGATCAATTATCTGTGGGGGAAGGGGGATATTTCTTCTTCTTTGTCTTTTGGGATGCCTTTTCTTTCATTCATTCATCCATTTATTTATTGACTTGTTTTGCCTTATTACTCCATCTCAGAATTTCAGTGCCATGGTAAATGGGAGTGATGATAAAAGGCATCCTTATCAAGCTCTTGTTTGTAAAAAGGATGTTTTCAATCTCTCCATTGAGAATAACGTTTTTGTATCTGCCCTTATTTACATTGAGGAACTTTCCTTCTATTTGTATTTTCTTGAGCATTTGTATCAGGAATGGGTGTTAGATTTTGTCAAAGACCTTTTTCTGCATCACCTGATATGACCATGTGATTCTTTTCCTTTAATTACATGGCAAATTACATTGACTGTTTCTTCTGGCATAAAACTAACACACACGAGCAGACTGCCATCCAGTCAAGTCAGACTGACAGTGAACCTATAGGTCATGGTAGACCTTCCCCATGGGTTTCCAAGACTGTGAGTCTTTAGGGGAGTAGAAAGCTGCATCTGTATACCGCAGAGCAGCTGGTGGTTTTGACCTCCTGACCCCATGGTTAGCAGCCCAATGCGGATCCTGGTCTGAACTCTAGTTGCTCATGATGTGTGTGCACGCGCGCGCGCATCAGATTCTATTGGCTAGGATGTTGTTGGTGATTTTTGCATCACTGTTCATGAGGAATATTGTCTGTGGCTTTCTTCTTGTGGGGTCCTTTGCTGGCTTTGGCATCAAAGTTGTGCTCACGTCAGAGAAGAAATTCAAGAGTCCTCGTTCCTTTGCAGTGTTCTGGAATACGTAGTTTGAGTAGAATTGGTGTCAGCTATTCTCTGAATATCTGGTATAATTCTCTGGTGGAACCATCTAGGTCAGTTTTTTAAAACATTATTCTTAGGGGTAGTGGGGAGATGAGTCACTTAGGGTTCAGTATAGCAATAATGAAACCCACAACCTTCCTCTAGTTCTTAAACGCTTCCTCCCC